GTATGTATGTATGTATATAAGAATGCATGCACGTACGCAGGTATGTATGTATGTTAATAAGAATGCATGCACGTACGCAGTAGTAGTATGTATGTATATAAGAATGCATGCACGTACGCAGGTATGTATATATGTATATAAAATGCACGTACGTAGTATAGTTATGTATATTATAAGAATGCATACACGTACGTAGTATGTATGATGTCTATAATAAAATATATAAATATTATATATATGTCTATATATATGAAATCTAATTATATCAATCTACCTTTTCTATGTACCTAAAACGAGCCAAGGTTAAAACCCGTCACCAACGAGAGCGCGCGCCGTGCTCAGCCCTCACTAACGACCCACGTGCATCACCCGGCCACAACATCATCAAAGTCCGTGAACGACGTAGTTAAACAATTTCCTCGAGCCAACCGCCGGAAGAACGAATTCCTCCTCTGTAATCAACCGACGTAACCGGACCGTAAAACTCGGGCCGACTTGATGAAGATAATCAGAAACCTTTTCCCGCGCGATTCCCGGCGTCTATGCGGGGGATTAGATGCTCCGCGCGCTTATAGACCGACGCTCATTTGTTTTCCCTATCTCTTGTTTCGCTTATAATGAGAGGGGGATCAGCCAGAAATATAGACGCAGGGAAAGGTTAATGCATCTGCAGTATGCTGAAGGTCGCCGTGGTGTTCTGATCATCACTATTACGCTTATTTGTGTCGGGGATCGGCGGTTATTAACCTGAATTTCCTCATTTCGGGCGGAGCGGAGTCAATTAATTGGGAAAAAGCCTGCGTCTTCTGGGAAGCAAACACGGTAAGGATCACATTGGAAATTGAAGTTTTTGAAAAGATACGACGTAAAAAGGCAAATGATGCGAGGACCCTTCTTCCGCATAAATTAATACATACGAGTATATACACACATGTATGTATGTATGCATGCATATGTGTATGTGTCTATATATATATGTACATATATGCATACATATACATACATATATGTATACATATACATATGTATATATAAATATATATATATATATATATATATATATATATATATATATATATATACATAGTTAATAGACAGATAGACAGACGGACTATACATACATCAGCTAATACAGAGATACAGTGAGACAGACAGCACAGATACATAAATAAGCAGGCATATTTTCCAAGGCTATCCTACCCCGCCCAGGCCATACACCCGCACCC